GGGTGAGTGTTAGATTGGTCAGGTTGGGTGAGTGTTAGAGTGGTCAGGTTGTGTGGTGTTAGGTGGTCAGGGTAAGATTAGGTGAGTGTTAGGTGGTCGGGTTAGGTGAGGTGTTAGAATGGTCGGGCTAGGTAAGTATTAGATCGGTCAGGTTAGGTGAGGTGTTAGAGTGGTCAGGTTAGGTGAGTGTTAGAGTGGTTAGGATAGGTGAGTGTTAGAGTGGTCAGGTAAGATTTGAGTGTTAGAGTGGTCAGGTTAGGTGAGTGTTAGAGTGGTCAGGTTGGGTGAGTATTAGAGTGGTCAGGTTTGGTTCGTGTTAGGTGGTTAGGTTGGGTGAATGTTAGAGTGGTCAGGTTAGGTGGTGTTAGGTGGTCAGGTTGCGTGAGTGTTAGGTGGTCTGGTTAAGTTGGGTGAGTGTTAGAGTGGGGTAGGTTGGGTGGGTGTTAGGTGGTCAGGTTGGGTGGTGTTAGAGTGGTCAGGTTGGGTGAGTGTTAGGTGGTCGGGTTAGGTGAGGTGTTAGGTGGTCAGGTTAGGTGGTGTTGAAAGTGGTCAGGTTAGGTGAGTGTTAGAGTGGTCAGGTTAGGTGAGTGTTGGCGTGATCAAGTTAGGTGAGCGTTAGAGTAGTCAGGTTGGGTGAGTATTAGAGTGGTCAGGGTTGGCTAGTGTTAGAGTGGTCAGGTTTGGTTAGTGTTCAGTGGTCAGGTTAGGTAAGTGTTAGATCGGTTGGGTTGGGTGATGTTAGAGTGGTCTGGTTGGGTGAGTGTTAGAGTGATCAGGGTAGGTGGGCGTTAGGTGGTCAGGTTAAGTTAGGTGAGTGTTAGGTGGTCAGGTTGGGTGAGGTCATGGAATTGTTGGGTTAGGTTGGGTTGGTGTTAGGTGTGGTCAGGTAGATTGGGTGGGTGTTAGAGGGGTCAGGATGGGTTGGGTGAGGTGGTCAGGGTTGGAGGTTGGGTAAGTGTTAGAGTGGTCGGTTAGGTTGGGTAAGTGTTAGAGTGGTCAGGTTGGGTTAGGTGAGTGTTAGAGTGGTCAGGTTGGGTTGGGTAAGTGTTAGAGTGGTCAGGTTAGGTTGGGTAGGTGTTGGAGTGGTCAGGTTGGGTTGGGTGAGTGTTAAAGTGGTCAGGTTAGGTAAGGTGTTAGAGTGGTCAGGTTGGGTGAGGTGTTAGGGTGGTCAGGTTGGGTGAGTGTTAGGTGGTCGTTGGGTGAGGTGTTAGGTGGTCACGTTGGGTGGTGTTAGAGTGGTCAGGTTAGGTGAGTGTTGAGGTGGTCAGGATAGGTGAGTGTTAGAGTGGTCAGTTTGGGTGGTGTTAGAGTGGTTAGGTTGGGTGATGTTAGAGTGGTCAGGTTGGTGAGTGTTAGAGTGGTCAGGTTAGGTTGGGTGAGTGTTAGGTGGTCAGGTTAGGTTGGGTGGTGTTAGAGTGGTCAGGTGAGGTTGGGTAAGTGTTAGAGTGGTTGGGTTGGGTAAGTGTTGATGTCAGGTTAAGGTTAGGTGGAGTGTTAGGTAGTCAGGTAAGATTAGGTAAGTGATGGAGTGCTCAGGTTAGGCTTGGGTAAGTGTTAGGAGTGGTCAGGTTAGGTTAGGTGAGTGTTGGAGTGGTCAGGTTAGGTTGGGTGAGTGTTAGAGTGGTCCGGATTGGTGAATATTAGGTGGTCAGGTTAGGTGAATATTACAGTGGTCGGTTAGGTGGGTAAGTGTTAGAGTGGTCAGGTTAAGGTTAGGTGAGGTGTTAGAGTGGTCAGGTAAATTAGGTAAGTGATAGAGGTGCTCAGGATAGGTTCGGTGAAGTGTTAGAGTGGTCAGGTTGGGTGAATATTAGGTGGTCAGGTTGGGTTGGGTAAGTGTTAGTGTGGTCAGGTTGGGTTGGGTAAGTGTTAGGGGTCAGGTTAGGTTAGATGGGTGTTACAGTGGTCAGGTTGGGTGAATGTTAGAGTGGTCAGGTTTTGTGGTGTTAGAGTGGTCAGGTAAGATTAGGTGAGTGTTAGAGTTGTAGGTGGTTAGGTGAGTGTTAGGTGAGTAAAGGTAGGTGGTGTTAGAGTGGTCAGGTTAAGAGTTAGGTAAGTGTTAGAGTGGTTGGGTTTGGAAAGTGTTAGATTGGTCGTTAGGTGGTGTTAGGTGGGTCAGGTTAGGTGAGGTGTTAGAATAGTCAGGTTAGGTGATTGTTAGAGTGGTCAAGAATGGGTGAGTGTTAGGTGGGTCAGGTTAGGATGGTGTTAGAGTGGTCAGGTTAGGTGAGTGTTGGTGGGCAGGTTGGGTGAGTGTTAGAGGTGGTCAGGTTGTGTGAGGTGGTGGGTGAAAGGTTGGGTGGGTGTTAGGTGGTCAGGTTAGGTGAGTGTTAGAGTGGTCAGGTTGGGTTGGGTAAGTGTTAGAGTGGTCAGGTTAAGGTTAGGTGATATCAGCAGGGTGAGTGTTAGAGTGGTCAGGTTAGGTGAGTGTTAGAGTGGTCAGGTTAGGTTGGGTAAGTGTTAGAGTGGTCAGGTTAAGGTTAGGTGAGTGTTAGAGTGGTCAGGTAAGATTAGGTAAGTGATAGAGTGCTCAGGTTAGGTTGGGTAAGTGGTAGAGTGGTCAGGTTAGGTTAGGTGAGTGTTAGAGTGGTCAGGTTAGGTGAATATTAGAGTGGTCAGGTTAGGTTGGGTAAGTGTTAGAGTGGTCAGGTTAGGTTGGGTGAGTGTTAGATTGGTCAGGTTAGGTGAGTGTTAGAGTGGTCAGGTTGTGTGAGTGTTAGGGTGGTCAGGTAAGATTAGGTGAGTGGTAGAGGTCAGTTAGGAGTGTTAGAATGGTCAGGTTTGTAAGTATTAGATCGGTCGGGTTAGGTGAGTGTTAGAGTGGTCGGGTTAGTGGAGTGTTAGAGTGGTCAGATAGGTGAGTATTGTATTTGTTATGTTAGAGGGTTAGGTTAGGTGAGTGTTAGAGTGGTCAGGTTAGGTGAGTATTAGAGTGGTCAGGTTTGTTAGTGTTAGAGTGGTTAGTTAGGTGAGTGTTAGAGTGGTCAGGTTAGTGAGTGTTAGAGTGGTCAGGTTAGGTGAGTGTTAGAGTGGTCAGGTTGTGAGAGGATGTCAGGTTAGGTGAGTGTTAGAGTGGTCAGGTTGGGTGAGGTTGGCGGACTGTTAGGTGAGCGTTAGAGTAGTAGGTTAGGTGGGAGTATTAGAGTGGTCAGGTTAGCTGAGTGTTAGAGTGGTCAGGTTGGGTTAGTTCGAGCACTTAGGTAAGTGTTAGATCGGTCAGGTTAGGTGAGTGTTAGAGTGGTCTGGTTAGGTGAGTGTTAGAGTGATCAGGGTACGTGAGCGTTAGAGTGGTCAGGTTAAGTTAGGTGAGTGTTAGAGTGGTCAGGTTAGGTGAGTCATAGAATTGTAAGGTTAGGTTAGGTTAGTGTTAGAGTGGTCAGGTAAGATTAGGTGAGTGTTAGAGTGGTCAGGATAGGTTAGGTGAGTGTTAGAGTGGTCAGGTTGTTGGGTAAGTGTTAGAGTGGTCAGGATAGGTTAGGTGAGTGTTAGAGTGGTCAGGTTAGGGTTGGGTATGTTACAGTGGTCAGGTTAGGGTTGGGCAAGTGTTAGAGTGGTCAGGTTAGGTTAGGTGAGTGTTAGAGTGGTCAGGTTAGGTAAGTGTTAGAGTGGTCAGGTTAGGTTATGTGAGGTGAGAGGGTGGGAGGTTAGGTGAGTGTTAGAGTGGTCAGGTTAGGTGAGTGTTAGAGTGGTCAGGTTAGGTGAGTGTTAGAATGGTCACGTTAGGTAAGTGTTAGAGTTGTAAGGTTAGGTTGGGCAAGTGTTAGAGTGGTCACGTTATGTGAGTGTTAGAATGGTCACGTTAGGTGAGTGTTAGAGTGGTCAGGTTAGGTTTGGTTAGTGTTAGAGTGGTCAAGTTAGGTGAGTGTTAGAGTGATCAGGTTAGGTGAGTGTTAGAGTGGTCAGGTTAGGTGACTGTTAGAGTGATTAGCTTAGGTTAGGTGAGTGTTAGAGTGGTCAGGTTAGATGAGTGTTAGAGTGGTCAGGTTAGGTGAGTGTTTAAGTGGTCAGGTTAGGTTAGGTGAGTGTTAGAGTGGTCACGTTAGGTGACTGTTAGAGTGGTTAGCTTAGGTTAGGTGAGTGTTAGAGTGGGCAGGTTAGGTGAGTGTTAGAGGGTCAGGTTAGGTTAGTGAGTGGTCAGGTTAGGTGAGTGTTAGAGTGGTCAGGTTAGTGAGTGTTAGAGTGGTCAGGTTAGATGGTGTCTGTTAGTGAGTGTTAGTGATCAGGTTAGGTGAGTGTAGAGTGGTCAGGTTAGGTGAGTGTTAGAGTGGTCAGGTTAGGTGAGTGTTAGTGTCGTCAGGTTAGGTGAGTGTTTGAGTGGTCAGGTTTGGTGAGTGTTAGAGTGGTCAGGTTAGGTGAGTGTTAGAGTGGTCAGGTTAGGTGAGTGTTAGAGTGGTTAGGTTAGGTGAGTGTTAGAGTGGTCAGGTTAGGTGAGTGTTAGAGTGGTCAGGTTTGGTGAGTGTTAGAGTGGTCAGGTTAGGTTAGTGTTAGAGTGGTCAGGTTAGGTGAGTGTTAGAGTGGTCAGGTTAGGTGAGTGTTAGAGTGGTTAATCTTAAAGTGAGATAAGCATGAGGTTTATTCTTCAGGTGATCTGGTGAAATCTTTCACAGAAAATATATTTTGTTTTTAGGATTACTTTTAAGGTCACACCTGTTATGAGGTATGAAAATATATTGTGGTCGACGTGATCATAGTATTATATATATTGCTATGGTGGATTTAATTTTCATGTATTTAGCAGCGGGTATAATCATATTATTTAGGGCTATTGGACTGTCAAGACTAATTATTCTGGCTGGGAGTGTTGGGTTTCAGTGCACAACTATATACAGAGTAGATACACAAGTGAATAAATATACACGGTCATACTGTACATAGAGACGTGTATAAATATCAGGAAGGACTTACACAATGTTTGTGATATAGAAAAGATCTATACAACGGAGAGAGAGAGAGAGAGAGTGAGAGAGAGTTACCATTGCTAACACTGCCTCATCCTACAGGTCGTGGGTACAGTGAGGAAATCGCAGGGAGCCGTGGTGCCTCCTGCTACCACAGCGAGAGTGTCAACATCCATCACCACCCCCTTACCCGCCGCCGCTCCTGCCAAAGTCAGAGCCTCGACCTGGAGAACTACCGCTCCGCCACGCCCCTCCTGCAGGACGGTGTCCCTCGGGGACGTAGCCTCGACAGTACCTCCGTCAGCAGTCTTCGTCGTTCCCCTACTGCGGGACCCTCTTGGGCGGGCGGGGATCCCTTCTGCACTACCCCAGAGCTTCGGGTATCTCCAACACCCCCGGAGACCACCAGCCATCACTCCCATCCCCACGCTATTGCTCTCCAGCGCCAGGAGACCGTAGACGATGCCCTCCTGCCCGTCCCATACGCCACATTGATGGAAGAGGAGCTCGAGAATGAGGTTTAATATGCCTTGTCATCTACAGTGGCTCTGTAGAACCCTTAAGTGATCTTCAGTAGCGTAAAGTGATGCTAGAGACTGGTGATTATCCCTAAGTGGCCTGGTTGTGTTCTCTGGATCTTGGAGGAGCCAGGTAAAGTGTGCCACTGCTGGGAGAAGGACAACTTGGGTCTTGAAAATTGTATTGATTGCAAGTTACGACACCTTGTTTTTTATAAACTCTGGAGAGTTTAGAAATTCACAAGAGACCCTCATATGGTTTTAAGCTGGTTTTGAATGTCACCAAATAGTTTCAGATGTCGACCCTGAACACTACAGTGATTTGACAACAACTGAAGTTCAAAATATAAATCACAAACGCACAAGTTGCTTAAGGGATTATTTTAGTGGTTCAAAGATGGAACGATACTTTTGTGAGCCTAAGTGAGGTGAATATGGTATAAAATATTACTACTGTAATACCATATCAACTGTGAACATATAACCCTTCGAGGACGTTGATTTAGGCAATAACTCTTGAAGAGAGATGAGTTAAACCTCAATAAATTAAACGATCATCTTCAAGGGGTTAATTTGGCTTCAAATAGTCAGATAGATACAAAAGTTTGGTAGATGTGTTCCTACCCAATCCTGGTGAAATTTTCTTTATATAATTTAGTGATCTCGTAGAAGGTTCAGATTTAACAACACCTTTGTGGTATTTCGTGACAAGATAGTAGGAGTTTGTAGTTCTACAGACACAATGTTGACTCCCCAAGGCCAAACACATTCACAAAAAAGTATGGCGCCTACTTTGAACCCCAGAAATGACTCGTTAAGGTTTAAATGTGACAAATTTGGTGTTGTCTGAAGTAGAAACTGTATAAATCCTCGACCTTTCACTTCCTCAGGCTTCCTTAACTCCTGCATTTCTCTCTATCCTCTCCTTTACTCCCCTCATTTTGAATTCTTCCTCCCTCTATCTTTACAACTTTCCCTTTCAATCCTACCCTTCTTCGTCGTTCCTTCTTCCTCTGTCTGTCCCTCACCTCCCAACTTCTATCTCTCATCCTGCCTAGCCCAGTTCTTCATTCTGTTCTTACACTATACCTTCCTCCCTCTTTCTCGTATGTCTTGTTCTTTCTGCTGATTATTCCTTTTCTTTTCCTTTCTTCATCTTCAGTCAGTATTTTGTCTTGGTCGTTCCTGCCTGCAAAAGAATTACTATTACAAGAATACCAGAAATAGGATCACGTCATCATAATTATTTATTTTTCACGCAACCGACACAAACTACACCTTTTATAGCCCAACTTAAATTAACCTAACCTAACCTGGCTTAACTAGAACTTACCTTACCAGACAGCACAAAAATTAAACCTAACCTAACTCAATCTTACGTAACCTTACCTTGCCTTACCTAACCAATACAATCGTAGAATTCTTAGGTTAGGTGGGAGTAGTATAGGTTGGGTTAAGCTAGGTTAGATTGGCTATGGCTAAGTTGGTGCCTCCTGAAATGTTATGGTATTAGCTAGCTCTGTTTGTGGCACTATTCTAGCACAGTGTGACTCGCCTTCCTCTGACAGCTTGCTAGTAAACTCTATGTTCTAAGAATCACAGTTTCCAAACATAAAACTTGATTTCGTGTCACAGATGTATCACAGTGTCACAATCTAGGGCCCCTCGGTGCAAGGCCTCAACAAAAATACATGAAGAGTGACTTATCTGCCAAAGGTGGGAATAATCCAAGCAGCTGGGGCAACAACAATAATTGTTTGACAAGGCATGTCATTATGTCTCCATTAAATTTATATAAAGTTTCACTTTCTACACAATTTAAACATATAGGCACAGAAATACACCATGAGCCACCATATTATTATACTGCTCTATTTTGCTACACAAAAGTATGTACATGTATTTATGTTCGACCTGTCTCAAAACGTAAAATATTTGAACACATCAACCTAGTTAAGTGGCATATAAAAATCCATTAGAAAGACAATGTTTGAAAATAATATGGTATTAACATAACTTGTCTATCAGTTAAAGATTAAATGTGTCATGTGGGAGATAAAACCTTTATAAATACTGAAGAAAAGACAGATATTTCCTCAGAAGGGTTTAAGGCTGGTGGGGATTAGAGCATCTGAAAGTCTACTGTATATTTGTGTGTTGAAAAAAATATCCGAAAACGCCTTTAAAACAAACAACATCACCTTGGAACTAGGATGATAAGGCAAGTTCGAATTTTTTTTATATGGAAACAAAGAAATGAGGTGAAAAAAAAAAAACGATAAAATGAGATTGATTAAAGTATGCGAAGAGAGTGCAATACGAGTGGGTGTTGTTTTGTTTTGTGAGGAGACAAGAATAGACTTCAAAACATGAAAAAATGAATAAAGAATGAATAAATATATATTTGTATGTGTATGTAATCTGCAAAACCCACTTTCTATACAACAATATGAAACACTCCCCCTCCTCCCCACAAAAAAAAATATATTTTATACAAACAAAAAATATAAATCAACTTTGTATCGAGAAGAGGGCAGGAGGAAATAATTTCTCCCCCTCTCAAGAAAATCTAAATCATTGTATCAAGAGTGTGATTCATTATCCCTCATCACAAGGTTGGTCTTTGTCACCTTCAGAGGGAGGGGAGGGGGGCACGTCCTCACTCATTTATTCATCAAAAGACCTCGTGTTCCCAATTTCAGCTGGTGGATCAGGTGCAGCGTCTCTGTGAACCCCACACACAACACAAGAACTTCCAATGAATCCATTTATCCACTATTGCACTGAGTTAGTGAGTGAGTGGGCTATTTGTTGTTGTAGTGAGTCACAGTTTTCCATGACTCACTCATCCAAACAAAAACATTGCTGACATGTATAATGATGGTGAGATAGGGGTTAAACTGTATATCACTAGAGCATAAGAATTATATTTAATACACTGCTTACTTGTAGTGCAGTATTATAAAAAAATAATGGAGGAAAATTAAAAAAAATAATATATACTTTATATGCATTACAGGTATATGAGTTTTAAGAAGTTGGTTGATAATCAAGGTCAATTTGTTTACAATGTCTGAATGCTGAACATTTTTTATTGAAATTCCCTTAAAGGATGTGGTGGGTGATACGGTTCCGGTCTTCGCTTTAACTGTGCTGAACTGTGCCGGGTGTGCTGAAGGCTGTGTGTGTATGCAGGAGTAACAGCAGTCGGTTTTAGGAGTTCGATCTGGTAATCAATATTTAATTTTCCACTGATAGGGTCATGGCCTTGTTCACACTATTACTTTAACCTAAAATAACATAACTTAAACTAACCTTCCTTAATCTAACTTAAACTAATCTAACCTAATGTAAATCAAATTCAAGGGTGGATCCAAAGGGGTCCTGAGGGTCCGAACCCCCCTCTTTCATCAGAAAATTTAAATACTTTTTCTTTATTGCAGTATTGTACTCAGGCATTTTTGTATAGTAAAAAGTAAATACTGTTGACCTCAGTATATCTCCTAATATCAAGTGCACATGGCTTCAAAATGGCCTAAAAATGACCCTGATATTGGTCAGCTGGGTGGACTCGCTTTGCTCGCCAAATTCTCCCACTCAAAACTTTTTGGATATTCCCAAGAAACTAGCTTACTTTAACCTAATGTTAACTGAACCTAATTTAGCTTAACCTAAAATAAAGTAACTTAGACTGACTTATCTTAGATTAACACAAACTAATACAATTAAATATAAATTAAATTTCACCTAAACTGATTTAATGTAACAATTCTTTTTTCTAATAAATTTCATACTGTAATTTAAAAGCTGATAAAGTGTGAAGTCATTCAGTATATTTTTCTTTCCCCTTCCGATATGTGTCCTCATTCTATGTGACTCACTTGTTACATTAGTTTAGGTTTTTTAGGTTAGGTTTGGCTAGATTGAGATAGGTTATGTTTTGTAGGTTAGGTCAGGTCAAGTTGTTAGGTTAGGTGCAATATCTATATATTCCCATACATGGCCAACCCCTTACTCAGCTCTAAAAAAATGTAAAAATAAAAATAAACATTCACACCTAAAGTATACCTTTGAAATGATAGAAAATAAAAGAAAAAAACAGAGATTAATGAGACGTCTTTACATAACAAAATGTCCTTAAAGTTTGTGAGGTGAGACCTGGGGATTAACTCTCTCATCTGAGGTTTAATTCCAGTCTCCAGGTTCTTTGGCTGTTACCAAGTTCTGGTGTTATGTAACTTGCATATCTACTGTACTGTATATCTCAAATTTTTCTCAATTACATTAAGGTATATATTCTTGTGTACTGTATTTTTGTGTGTGTGTAGTGAAGTGATGGTGATGTGTGGGGGAGTGATGTGTGGGGGAGTGATGTGTGGGGGGATGTGTGGGGGTGATGTGGGTGTGTGTGGGGAGTGATGTATGGGGGTGATGGATGTAGTGATGTGTGGGGGATGTGATGATGGGTATGGGGGTGTGTGATGGTGGTGTGTATGGGGGTGATGTGTGGGGGTGATGTGTGGGGGGATGTGATGTGTGTGTGTGAAGTGGTGGGGGGTGATGTGTGGGTGATGTGTGGGGTGTGTGGGGGTGAATGTGATGTGGTGTGAGTGAATGTATGGTGGTGGGGGGATGTGGGATGTGTGAGTGATGTATGGGGGGTGATGTGTTGTGAAGGGATGATGTGTATGGGGGTGAGTGTGAGTGGTTGTGAGGCAGTAGTGTATGTAGGAAGAGAGTGTGTGTGTGTGTCTGGGTGTGATGTAGAATAAGTGTGTGTGGTGCCAGTCACATTTGGAAAGTAACTATCTTTTACCAACTCCTGCTGTTTGCTATTGATATATATATATATATATATATATATATATATATATATATATATATATATATATATATATATATATATATATATATATATATATATATATATATATATATATATATATATATATATATATATATATATATATATATATATATATATATATATATATATATATATATATATATATATATATATATATATATATATATATATATATATATATATATATAGTATATATATAGCAAAAAACACACTTGAACAATCATAAACAACAACACAAACATATACTCACACACACACACACACACACACACACACACACACACACACACAGCAGCTCTCACTTCATGTTCAGGAATATTTTAATCAATATTGTGATAACTTCTATGAGTTACGCTGTGTCAAATAAACACGTGGTTGTATATGAACTAGTTTTATTATCCCACTTCAGCCTCACTAGCTACAGAGGAAGGTGGAGAGGCTGTCTTAATCGGATGGTGTGCGTGTGTGTGCATAATTGTTTACATCAGCATGTCTGTTTAAATGTTTAAATACTTCAGTGTTTTTATTTATTTTAGTTGGTCACATGGTCACCTGCGACTAAGTGATGAGAAGACGGAAAATTTGACAAAGAAAAACAATAAAACAGAAGAAACAACGAAAAGTGACCCCAAAAAGTATAATGAAGAATTTTGAATTATCAGATTTATTAACAGAATATTTAAACCAATTACAGCACCAGCATAAAAGTTATTGATAAGGAAGAAAGTAATTATACACCTTTTCACATATCCGTTGAGACATTGTTACATAACTATTTGACAAATTTCATAACCGAATGACAGAACACATAATTCACACACATATCGAATGACAATCTAAAATAACTGTTCGTTCATGCTAACGGAAGTGATTGACAGACGTGAACAATAAACCGACAGTCTACATATAGTTTGAGAATGTAACAATTGGAGAATGACATTCCACCAACAATTATTTTAGATTATCATTCGATGTGTTCTGTCATTCTGTTATGAAATTTGTCAAATAGTTATGTAACAATGTCTCAACGAATATGTGAAAAGGTGTAATGAGAGGTTAGAAAGGAAAGGAGAGAGATGGGGGAGCAACAGCATCACATTCGTCACGTGATCGACTGTCGGCCCAAGCGGCTAACGAGCCAATCGGTGGCATTTCAGTAAAACTGCAGTTTCGGACAATACGCCCGAGTAGTTGAGCAGTGTGTTTTTACGATGGTTTAGATAATTATAAGACACCTTTCTTCTATGATGTTTCTGTTGCAAATGACCTGAAATTGTCGAACCTAACATTCTAACCGGGGGGGGGGGGTCCTTCCCCCCTGGATCCCTCGGTATATTTAAGTAATTTGCGAGGGAAATGTCATAGAAGAAAGTTGTCTTATAATTGTCTAAACCATCGGAAGAACACATTGCTCAACTCGAGATCCATATTGTCCAAAAACTCCAGTTATACTGGCATTTCTAAGTTGTTGGAAGTTGAAATTATGTTTTTCCGATGGTTTTTGATGTGTTTTGAACGAATATGACCGTTAATCACACCAAACCTAACAAAACCTTGGTAGGGCCGCTGGGGACCCCTCCCTTGGGAGACCCCTTGGTGGCACTGCTTCTTTAGGGCCCTTAGAAGCGCCGTCGTGAGAGGCCCCTTGTAGACGCCGCCCCTGAGATCGCTACCCCTAGGAGGGTCCCTAGGAGTATCCCCCCTGGGAGGGTCCCTGTAGATGCCGTCCCTGGGTGGACCCCATGGGGCCATGCCCATGGGAGGGCCCCTGGGGTCGCCGCCCCAGGAAGGCCCCCTGGTGGCACTGCCCCAGGTAGGACCCCCGAGGACGTCACTTCCTTAGGACCCCTGGGGGCGCCGCCCCTCTCGAAGGGTTCCTGGGACCGACGCCTAGGTACGGCCCCTGGGAGGCTCCCGAGTGGCGCCGCTCCTGGGAGCGACGCCCTAGGTACGGCCCCTGGGAGGCTCCCGAGTGGCGCCGCCCCAGGGAGGCCCCCTGGAGCCGTCGCCCCTGGGAGGCCTCCGAGAGGTGCCGTTTCTTTAGAGCCACTGGAAGCAACGCCCCTGGAAGTGCCCCTAGGGGCTCCGCCCCTGGTAAGGCCCATAGGGGTGCCACTTCTGAGAGGGTCCCTGGGGGAGTCGCCCCTGGAAGGGTCCCTGGGAGGCCATGGGGGCACCGCTTCTGGGGCAGAATCCTACCGTATTTTAGGCGGAATCCTACCCTACTCTGGGGCGGAATCCTACCGTCTTCTAGGGCAGAATCCTACCCTAATCTGGGCCGGAATCCTACCGTCTTCTGGGGTGGAATCACACCTTATTCTGAGGCGGAATTCTACCGTATTCCGAGGCGGAATCCTACGGTCTCCTGGGGCAGAATCCTTCCGTATTTTAAGTGGAATCCTACCCTATTCTTTGGCGGAATCCTACCGTATTCTGGAGCAGAATCCTACCGTCTTCTTGGGCACAATCCTACCCTATTCTGGGACGGAATCCTACCGTCTTCTGGGGGGGGGGAATCCTACCGTATTCTGAGGCGGAATCCTACCGTATTCTGAGGCGGAATCCAACCGTCTCCTGGAGCGGAATCCTCCCGTATTCTAAGGCGGAATCCTACCGTCTCCTGGAGCGGAATCCTACTGTATTCTGAGGCGGAATCCTCCCGTCTCCTGGAGCAGAATCCTACCGTATTTTAGGCGGAATCCTACCCGATTCTGTGGCAGAAACCCACCTTATTCTGGGGCAAAATCCTACCGTCTTCTGGGGCAGAATCCTACCCTATTCTGGGACAGAATCCTACCGTCTTCTGGGGCGGAATCCTACCGTATTCTGAGGCGGAAACCTATCCTCTTCTGGGGCGGGATCCTACCGTATTCTGGGGTAGAATCCTACCGTCTTCTGGGGCGATATCCTACCGTCTCCTTAGGCTAAATCCTAGCGTATTCTGGGCTGAAACCTACCCTATTCTGGGACGGAATCCTACCTTATTCTAAGGCGGAATCCTAACGTTTGCTGGGGCAAAATCCTACCATATTTGGGGCGGAATCCTACACTATTCTAGGGCGGAATCCTACCCTATTCTGGAGCAGAACCCTACCTTCTTCTGGGGCGGGATCCTACCATATTATGGGGCAGAATTCTACCGTCTTCTGGGGCGAATTCCTACCATCTTCTAGGGCAAAATCCTATCTTATTCTGGCGCAGAATCCTACCTTATTATGGGTAGAATTCTACCGTTTTCTGGGGCACAATATTACTGTCTTTGGAGACAGAATCCTTACGTCTGCGGGCACAGAATCCAACCGTTTTCTGGAGCGATATCCTACCGTCTCCTTGGGCAGAATCTAGCGTATTCTGGAGCGGAACTCTACCATATTCTGGGGTGGGATCCTACCGTATTCTGGGGCAGATACTACCGTATCCTGGAGCGGAATCCAACTGCATTGTGGGCGGAATCCGACTGGGTTCTGGGTGCTGGCGCAGAATCCTATCGTTATCTGGAGCGATATCGTATCGTCTCCTTGGGCAGAATCCTAATTTTATTATGGGGCAGAATCCTACCCTATTCTGGGACGAGTTCCTACCGTATTTTGGGGCTGAATGCTACCGTCTTCTCGAACGGATTCCTTCCATCTTCTTGGGCCGAATCCTACCGTATTCTGGCGCTGAATTCTACCGTATTCTGAGGCAGAATCTTACCGTATTCTGGCGCTGAATTCTACCGTATTCTGAGGCAGTATCCTACCGTCTTCTGGGGCAAAATCCTACCGTATTCTGGGACAGAATCCTACCGTTTTCTGGAGCGATATCCTACCGTCTCCTTAGGCAGAATCCTAGCGTATTCTGGGGCATAATCCTACCCTATTCTGCCCCAGGAGACGGTAGGATTCCGCCTCAGAATAAGATAGGATTCCGTCCCAGATTAGGGTAAGATTCCGCCCCAGAATATGGTAGGATTCCGCTCCATAATACGGTAGAATTCTACCCTAGAATAAGGTAGGATTCCGCGCCAGAATACGATAGTATTTCGTAGAAGATGGTAGGAAGCCGCCCCAGAAGACGGTAGGATTCTGCCCAATATTACGGTAGGATTCCGCCCCAGAATAGGGTAGGATTCCGGCCAAAATATGGTAGGATTTTGCCCCAGGAAACGTTATGATTCCGCCTTAGAATAAGGTAGGATTCCGTCCCAGAATGTGGTATGATTCCGCCCCAGAATACGCTAGGATTCTGCCTAAGGAGACGGAAGGATATCGCTCCAGAAAACGGTAGGATTCTGCGCCAGATGACGGTAGGATTCTGCGCCAGATGACGGTAGGATTCTGCGCCATCAGACGGTAGGATTCTGCGCCAGCTGACGGTAGGATTCTGTCCCCAAAGACGGTAATATTGTGCCCCAAAAAACGGTCGGATTCCGCTCACAATACGGTAGGATTCCGCTCCAAAATACGGTAGGATTCTGCCCTTGAAGATTGTAGGAATCAGCCCCAGAAGACGGTAGGATTCTGCTCCAGAATACGGTAGGATCCCGCCCCAGAAGACGGTAGGGTTCTGTCCCATCTAGGGTAGGATTCCGCCCAAAATACGGTAGGATTCTGCCCCAGGAGACGGTAGAATTCTGTCCCATAACACGGTAGGATTCTGCGCCAAAATATGGTAGGATTGTGCCCTAGCAGGTGGAAGGGATCAGCCCCAGAATTGGTTAGGATTCCGCCCGAGAATAGTGTAGGTTTCCGCCCCAAATGTGGTAGGATTCTGCCCTAGGAGACAGTAGGTATATTAGGCAGCTACCAAACAGGGAGGTACTACCGCCTGGGAAGATATTGGAAGCATAATGTGTTGTCTAATGGTAGACCCTGCTGCTGCCTTATGGCATCACGAAAATTGTGACCAAGTCCCAGGTTGCTGATCTGACTTTCTGCCTCATTTACACACAATTGCAGGGTCTCAATTGTTTCTCTTACTATTGACAACACAACATACATATATTGTTCCTCACTTTTCATTTTTTTTTCATTTTCTATTTCTTTGTGGTTCTTTATTATTATTGTTATTATTATTATTATTATTATTATTATTATTATTATTATTATTATTATTATTATTATTATTATTATTATTATTATTATTATTATTGTTATTATTATTATTATTATTATTATTATTATTATTATTATTATTATTATTATCATTATTATTACTATTATTATTACATTTTCGGCCCCCAGGCCCCGATGTGGGTCAGTGACCTGTGCCTGGGTGGGCTAATTGCCATAAAAAAAAAAAAAAAAGGATTCCGCTCTCGAAGATGGTAGGAATCCGCCCCAGAAGACGGCATGATTCTGCCCCAGAATACGGTAGGATTCTGCCCCAGAAGATGGTAGGGTTCTGCCACAGAATAGGGTAGGATTCCGCCTCAGAATGTGGTAAGATTCCACCCCAGAAGACGGTAGACTCTGCCCCAGAATATGGTAGGATTCTGCGCCAGAAAACGGTAGGATTTCGCCCTAGAAGATGTTATGATTTCGCCCTAAACAATGGCAGGATTCTACCCCCTAAAACGGTAGGATTTCGTCCCCAAAGACGGTAGAATTCCGCCCGAGAAAAAGGTAAGAATGCACCCAAGAAGATAGTAGGATTTCGCCCCAGAAAACGGTAGTAGTTCGCTCAAGAAGACAGTAGGATTATGCCATGGAAGATGGTAGGATTGTGCCCCAGAATACGATAGGAATCCGCCCCAGAAGACAGTAGGATTCTGCCCCAGAATACGGTAGGATTCCGCCTCAGAATAGGGTAGGATTCCGACCCAGAATAGGATAAGATTCCGCCCAAAATACGGTAGGATTCTGCCCCAGAAAACAGTAGAATTCCGTCCCACAAAAGGGTAGGATTCCGCCCCAGAATAGAGTAGGATTCCGACCCAGAATAGGATAAGATTCCGCCCAAAATACGGTAGGATTCTGCCCCCAGAAAACGGTAGAATTCCGCATCAGAATAAGGTAGGATTCCGTCCCATAATAGGGTAGGATTCCGCCTCAGAATAAGGTAGGATTCCGCCTCAGAATAAGGTAGGATTCCGTCCCATAATAGGGTAGGATTCCGTCCAAAATACGGTGGGATTCTGCCCCAAGAAGTGGTAGAATTCCACCTCAGAATAAGTTAGGATTCCGTCCCATAATAGGGTAGGATTCCACCCCAGAATAAGGTAGGATTCCGTCCCATCATAGAGTGAAAGTTTGAACGCTCGTGCTTGGCTAGCATACAGCGAATGAGGGTGCGCCAAGTCCGTAGACTTGCATCGTCTTCCATCATTAATTAATGACTTCCTGTAGAAACCATTGACAAGGGAACAGGTTTGTTCCACTCTACGATTTTTTTGCGATTTTTCCACCAAGTTTGATGAAAAACGATTGTGCCGTTTCGGCTGCCCAGAAGAGACACACAGACAGACAGACAGCTATTCCTATAGTATATTAGATTCCCCCTCAGAATAAGGTGGGATTCTGCCCAAGGAGACGGTAGGATATTGCTCCAGAAAATGGTAGGATTGTGCGCCAGCAGACGGTAGGATTCGGTCCCCAAAGAAGGTAAGATTCTGCCCCAGAAAACGGTCGTATCCCGCCCACAATACAGCAGGATTCCGCTCCAGAATAAGGTAGTATTCTTCCCCAGAATACGGTAGGGCATGTGTGTGTGTGTGAGTGTGTGTGTCCCCAGGAGGTCAGGGCTGTAGGGCACGTGTGTGTGTGTCCCCAGGAGGGTCAGGGCTGTAGGGGATGTGTGTGTGTGTGTCCCCAGGAGGTCAGGGCTGTAGGGCATGTGTGTGTGTGTCCCCAGGGGTCAGGGCTGTAGGTCATGTGTGTGTGTGTGTCCCAGGAGGTCAGGGCTGTAGGGCATGTGTGTGTGTGTGTCCTCAGGAGGTCAGGGCTGTAGGGAATGTGTGTGTGTCCCCAAGAGGTCAGGGCTGTAGGGAGTGTGTGTGTGTGTCCCCAGGGGTCAGGGCTGTAGGTCATGTGTGTGTGTGTGTCCCCAGGAGGTCAGAGCTGTAGGGCATGTGTGTGTGTGTGTCCTCAGGAGGTCAGGGCTGTAGGTCATGTGTGTGTGTGTG